GAAAGAATATGAACATGGGTCCCATTTCCTTCTTTGATATCTATTCCTTATAAGCCCGTATTCAGTGATAGAATCAATGACTGCATAAATGGATAAATGCCCCTTGGTTCAATAAATGAATTAGAATATACCCAGCTGTTCAGCAGATATTTTTAACCAGAATCTCAGGGGAAATATAAGCTGCTTAAAGACTCTTCTGTCCTCTGTGGCACCATAAGCCTTGTGTGGTGAGAATACCCAACACTTGAGGAGAACATCAACATAGATTCACGTCCAGGGATCCAGGCTCTCATTTTTACAGGGAAGTTGATGGAAGTCATCACCAAAGCCTAGGAGAATTAGAGAATGACTAATGGGAGAGCTCCAGATTATCTCTGGACTATAAGGAAACCTAGTGCAGAAAGCTGTGCAAAAATGTGAAACATATACCACATTACAATAGATAAATTTCAGGTTTAAGTGCTCTGAATTGGACTACTTCATTTGAAAATTAGTACCAGACACTTGCCCAAATGGTGAAGCATTAGAAAAGTGTTCCTGCCTATTGTGTAGAGTTTAAATCATTTCAGAAAGAATAACAATTTTAGGGGTTTAACTTATATCCCTCCCAAGAAATTATATGTGAGTGAATTTAGATACTTGGCTAACACCTGCAAAGAGTGTTTATTTGTTTTTATATAGCCTGTTTTGTTCTAATTGTATTCCACACTGAATTTTTTAAACAGATGTGTGAAGCTCAAACATTAGTTGCAAGGGACATCTAATTTAGCTTCTTGCAGGCTGAGAGTCAAAATACAATTTTACCCAAATGTAAGCAATAGAAATTGAATTTCCCCTGAATCTTTTCGCTACAAGTCAAATATGCATTGGCAATGTTGCCACAGGAATTAGCAAGGCAAGCAATGTGCCCTGAGAACAACTTTCGGATAAACCAAGACCATTTAGGACATAAAGGTTGCATTGGAGGACCTTTCTGAATTATTCTCTTGAAAATGTAGCCATAAGATTATTTTCCTTTGGAAGTTGATAGCTCACCTACTGTCCATGGAGGCATATTATCTATCCTGGGCAGACTATTTGCTTGAATATATAACTGGCATTAGTTTAAATGATTATCTTTGATCTAGCGATGCAGAGTAAGTCAACAGTTTCACAGAAATGTTGAGTATTGTAAACATTTAAGCTCCACTTCTGATTCTTAGTGGTTGTCACTCTGAGGTCAGTTTGATACACCTCGGAAAGATGACACTAATATACAAAGTGTAATTTAAAAACTAATTCCTAGTGTGCCTAAGTGTATTTGCCCACACATTTGAAACTTCTGTAATTGGCTAAAGAAGTGGTTCCCCATCAGAGATCTGCAGACTCCCCAAAAGTCTTTTAAGATAGATTTAGGACTGGGGTGGGAAGAGTGGTGTGTTAGAGGGACAATGTCATTATCAACTTTTCTTTTTATTAGGCTATAGAGTCTTTTAAAACATTTTTATTTCTTATTTTTATTTTCTGCTTTCACTTGCATTATAAAAACCGAGTTTGATATTACTGATTGGCTAACAGATAAATTATGTTATCACAATTCTTGAAATAAAGTCTTGGGCTTTGTGGCATGAGAGCTATGCATAGTAAAGGATGAAAGGATGAGGAACCACTGTTATAAAATAAAACATCCCATTAAACCCATTAAACAAGAGCTCCCCCTTCCACCCTTCTCCCAGCCCCTGGCAACCACAATTCCACTTTCTGTCTCTATGATTTTGACTACTCTGAGTACCTTATATAAGTGGAATCATACGGCATTTACCTTTTTGTGACTGCCTTAGTTTTACCATAAAAACTTACTCTTACGGGTTGAATTTTAAAATGCAACATTTTAAAAGTTAAGAATCAAACCTCTTTCCACATAGCTGTCACATGAAAGGTTTAAAAAATCGCATTGATTGAGCAATGGTTTTAAAAGTCAAGGTTACACCTGACACAATACAAGCCAAGAATTGTTTTTGAATAGTTATTCTCCAACACTGTGATTTCAGTAAGGAAAGCATCAGATTCTGAATAATATTTTCTGAATGGTATTCATTAGATCGTAATGCCTCTCTCCACAAGAGCTCAACAGTGCAATTTGCAAATTCATCGGCAGTATCTTCCCTTCTGTATATAAAGAAATGATTATGAGGAACTTCCTCTTAGGTAAGTGAAATGGAGATACACATATTATTCTATTTTACCACTAAAGGAAGCATAAAATCTCACAAAACCATTGTGTGCACTTGTCTGCATTTCAAATCTGTAAATTAGTCTCGTAATATTGAGTAAGCAATACAAATTGTTGGTGACACAGTAAATGGAAGATGGCATATATTTAAGAAAACATGTTTTACTAATTTTTAAAACTTACCTCATTAAATAGAAGCACTGCTCCTTCCCCCATAGTGTAAAATTATAGAATTTTAAATCTAGAGGGAACCTTAGATCATCAAGTTCATGTTGTATTTCAGTGCTTAACCTTATATCTTGTATCTCAAACTGTTGATCTTTATTTCTGGCATTTTGTGACCTCTGTAAGGAAGCATTACTCCAGTGTATGTTACTTGTCTTCATTCTCGTGATGTGTGATCCACATCAGTGATGTTTGAGTCTGCAATCTCCATCTCAAATACCTACGGCAATCAATCAGGCGATGGGATAAGTGAAACTGGAAGGTACTATCTGAGGAACTCTGGAGAGTGCATGCCTTTCTAAAAGGGTTAGTGGCCAGCCTTCAGTCCCAGGTGATGGGGGAAATATGAAATTCAGTCCCAATGTTACTAGATCCTTCTTTTTCAAAAGAAGTCAAAAATCCAGACTTTTAATGTGAAGACCCTCAGATGAAATTGACAATTGATTAAGTGGACACCAGTTTTTGATTTCTGCTCTTGGTATTTATACCCTGAAATGTGCAGTTTCTCTTGGAATAGTCATCAGTTCCTCTCTATAGATGGCTACAAGTGGGGAGGTTGGTACCAGTTAAATTGACCCTGGTAAACTTTCTTATGATGCTTTGGAAACCCCAGAAGTGTGAATGGAAATGAAAGCACGGCAGCTTGTATTTACTGGCCTAACCAACAGCATATGAAAGAACTTTCCTTGCTTTGCTGCTTATGTACAGGTTATATTTTCCAGACTGTCCAACTGTAGGGACAAAACAATGCTCATGTTGAAGTTTTTAATATGAATGTCTGCCGCATATTGAGGTATGAGGTTTCAATTTAATAAGTAGTTATTCTGTATCTGCTACCCCTCTGGAAATAGAGTTATGAGTAAGATATGCTTCCTCTCTCAACCTTTCCAGAACCTTCTGTGTGACAAATTTATCCCCCCACTCATTTTTCTCTTTGACATACTTCTTTCTTACTGCTTAATCATTTACTTTCTGGCACTTACATCATAATGACTGCAACTTACATTTTCTGCGTGGACACTGTCTTGAGCATTGTGCATTGTTATTGCAGGCGTTCCTGAGAAGTAGGGTTTCTACTTGCTGATAGTGGTGCCTCCCATTCCCATTTCCCAGATGAGAAACTTTTGACATGAACGTAAATAACTACCCCACTGACACACAGATTTCTACCCAGGACAGTCAGACTCCACAACCTATGTTCTTCTTTAACTCCATGCACACTGTCTACCCAACAGGGAAAGTCTAGCATGCCAGTTTGGTGTATCAAATATCTTATTTCCCTGGACTTCTAGCATAGCACCTAGAATAATGTAGGCACTATACTTATGAGTAAAACTCATGGAAAGAATCATGATTTATTTGTTCTTAGTCAAAGAGAGATTTTAAGTTCCTACATTTATAAACTCTAGAAAAATCACTTACTTAGAACTTAAAAAAATATTTACCATGTTGATAGCGTATGAGAAGTCTGAGAAAAGATGTGTGACTTATATAAATCATTACTGTTGGAGAAGGATGAAAAATATGATTAACACTAATGAAAATTTGGAAAGTGTTGAATGACAGCTGCCTAGAAATTCCACATCCTATTATTGCCACTCACTCTTTAAGTTCACCAAACAGAGTGAGGCTTTGCTGTTGATGTAATGACAAATCACTGGACCATTCTATTGGCATTTTTCAAAACATAATTTGTTTGATGTTAAGAATTATTATTATGTACGTGGACAGAAGACTCATCATACTAGTTCCTGGTCAATAAATGACACCATCGTTCTACAAGCCTACAAATCAGATGATTAGCTGTGTTCTGAACACCTTCCTCTCTTTAGACACCCATTTGCAATCTATCAGTAAATCTGTCAATCTTATCTTCTAAAAAAACTCTTGAAGCATCTCATTTCTCTCCCTACTACAAAGTAAGCGTTCAGTAAATGTTTGCTGTAATTCTTGTTATTGTTATTTTTCAGGGTCACTAAATTAGTCCAAGTTACTGTCATCACTCGCCTGAACTATTGCAATAACATCCTAAACTTTTTCATATTAGAATTCACACCTCACCACTCAAAATCTTTTTTTGCACTACAGCTAGATAACCTCTTTAAAATGCAAATCTGATCGTGTCATCTCCCCTTCTAAAACACTCACATGGTGTGGGGGCTACACAATCTCTAATCTAACACCATACTCTCTGCACCTCAGACACACTGACTTTCTATAGGTTTCACGATTGTGCCTCCCTCTCTCTACCCACAAGGCCTTTATATGTGCTGATCTCTCTGATTGGCATGCTCATCCCTTTTCTCTATTCCCTTTATTAACTCCTATTTACCCTTACATCACTTCCCTTAGAAACCCTCTTGAGAGATCCTGCACTAAACGAGTTCCTCCCTATTATACTATACCCTCTCTTAGCACCACTTACTCTCTTTTTGAAACACTCACTATGGTTGTAATTTTACATATATTTATGTGAATCTTTGACTAACATCTCTCTCTTTCTATATTGTAAGTTTCATGAGGAAGGAGACTATTTATATTCAATACATATCCATAGAATTAATGAATGCTACTTGAAAATATCAGATTCAGAAGCTAATAAAAAGATATTATAGGGTAATATAATCATAGAAATGATTCACAAGAGCACATTCTCTTCAATCTGAAGGTTTATGGTTGTCAGGCTCTATGCCTTACAGATACTGTTCTAATGTGTCTAGGTAGATTCCTACGGAGTTAGCAGATTTGCATATTTATGGTCTCCAGGATAAATGGGTCTTAACTGTGAAATATCTGTAGGTGGGACTAACAGTATCTACAGTATCTGCTATTTGATTCTCCTTAAGCCTGGCAAGAAAGTAGACTAGCATTATTCCAATCAAAAGAATAGTGACTTGTGACATATGTATCCCTAGGCAAATAAATGCATTATTCATATGTTCACAAGTTCATGTAAAGCAAAGAAAGCCTAATGAAGATTTATGTCTGGATCAACTTCCTGACTTAAAAATTTATTATTCCTTGGACTTATCATGCAAAGGAAGTGGTGGAAACCCATCCTCTGAACTATTAAGACTCCATGAAAACAGATTAGAAAGCACTCTAGAGCCCCATCTTTCATGGATTAGGTGGGATGGTGGTCGTGGATTTGATGATATAATTGGTCATCTATCTCCTCAATTTTTGCAAGAGGGCATAAGGAGAAAATGTGGCCAGTGGAAAAGCTTTAATCATGGTTGAATGTTCTTGTTAGGTTAATAGCTACAGGATATGGAAGGGAATTAGCATCCTATGTTTACCCTGGTCTTTTACATGAACTTGACTTAAAACCATCTGGCTTGCCCAAGCAGATATCTCTCTCCTATGAACTCATAAACTCAGTGTGCATTCATCTGCAGGGGTGCTTGGCCATATGGTCTAATGTGCTCTCATCCATCTCATCTCTCTTAGACCCTATATCTTCAAGGCCTAGCAGAGTGCCTGTCACAAAGAAGACATTGGGCATTTGTTGGTGACAACAATGAATGAATGGATGGATGAACGAATGATGTTACTCAACTTCATTCCTGAGAATTATATTGAGTTACTATCAACTTTGAAAAAAAACTCCCAAATTTTGATACTACGGTAAATTTTTTTTCAATTTCTTTTTCATACCTCTTTTTTTCTGACCCTGATTTCCTGTTGTATCTGCTTCTCTTTCTCTTTCATGCTCTCTCTCTCAAAAGCAGTTTCCCATCCTGCTGAAGTAAAGGCAAGTATCAGTGCACTTTATGACATCAAAACTTTATTCTGACACATAAAATCCAGCTGACTTTCTGTATTCTATTTTTTAAAACCTTCGACATAGCTCTTATTACTAAGTATTGCCACGTATGTTTTCCAATTTGGAAATTGGCAGAAAGGAGATAACTTTTAATTATCTTTGAACTGAGCAGCTCAACAGTTAAACCATTTACTCAGAGGCTGGAATACAGAAAATCTGTTTTTGGTTTGTTTTTGAAAAGCCAGCCATCCATTTTCTCAGTCAGTATAAAACCTCTTTCATCTGAAAATTTCTTTTCAACTTCAGTAGTGTATGAAGACTCAGCTCTCCAGAGATGGACCACAAATGGAAATTTAGGGCGTTTAAGGCATTTGTTTGAACGTTTATGATAATATATTGCAACGATTACCTATAACAGCAGCACAATTTGTATTTTCTGAATGTGGTAATAAAGATACTTTCACTTTCCTGTAAAATAATTGCTTTAGGATTATCTCCTAAAATACAACATACAAAGTATATTCGAAATATATCTTCTTAATAATAAATATAATTAATAATTTAAATATTTACATTGAAGCTATATAATTCAATAATAAACATAAGCCTAGGATGTAGGTATTAATTTTTCCATTCTGCAGTTGATAAAACAGAGTCTCAGTGAGGTTATCAGATTTACTTAAAGTCACATATTGAGGTCATTCTAACTTTAAAAGCCATTTTTGCACCAATGCTTGTTCTTAACCAGTTTAAGATGACATTGCAATTTGACATTTAAATTTTCAAAAATCATTTTTATTACCAGATGGTGGCTAGGGTACTTGAGACGTCTAAGTGACTGTAAAACGATCTTAAGAGAAGTTTAAGTGAAACTTAATAACGTGATGTCCTTTGAGTTGTGAAACTTCTTCAATACCCATTATTTTTTATAAGTTGCTTTCATTTCATGGGAATACTTGTCTGGTAAACACCTACAGCTTTGCTGTGATAAAAGCTCAGTAGGACTGATTCCCATATCTGTTATCAGTGAGTACTTAGAACTAAGTACTAGGATGTAGACCCCACTGAGCTACAAAAGTGGGTTTGCCCTTGAAGTGTCCACTTGGGGCACAGCCACACGGCATCTCTGAAGAGGAAGCTCTATTGATTTTCTCTTTGGGAATATCCCGGGGATTTTTGCTCTCAAGGTCAAAGAAGAGAAAAATTTGTTGCCATAATTTCTTTGCACATACACAGTTTGTCTTTTTCTTTTTGATATTTTTTTTGTGTTAAGCCCCTCCCTTTCATCTCTCATCTGACTAAATTAGATGGATGCCAAAGGTTTACCATTTTAGCCTGTACTGTGCACAGAGTATTGTGAAATGGGACCACAGGTCATAGAAAGATGAGTACAATATAAGCTTTCTCCCGGACACCAATAGCATAAGTTAAAATATAGTATGAGCAACGTGCTCTGAGGAAAAAGTGGAAAGCTTCAGGGAAAAGAAAGAATTTGTGTGCGGTCATTGGGGATGAGCAGAGTATGAAACTGTGGGTTATTTTGTCATAAGAACACTTAACGTTAAGATCTGCCTTCTTAGCAAATTTTAAGTGTACAATACAGTATTGTTAGCTGAATTTGACATTATTGTTACTACATGTTTACATTGAATTATTGTGGCCTTTTTAGCTTTTAGAAGGATCAGTTTCACAAAGCCTTAAATTATATGTATGTACATTTTTACATTTTAATTAGCAAAAGGAATTTTAGCTAAAGTCAAAGTCATTCTATTTTTATTATTCATTTCTATATAATCTACAGGAAGAGAAATAGAGAACAAGCAACATCTTTCCTAAAAACTTATCAACACAATTTTATTAAAAGAGAAAAAGTGTATTGACCTCTGGTAAGTCATTTTGTGGTTTTGGAAAATTAAACATATAATTTCAATGCGATGTCGTAATACCGTATTCATTTAAAAATATCAGATACATTTTAAATGAATTTTTAACACTGATTTCAGTGGCTTAAGTGTTTTCTCAGCTATCTTACCGTTTTGGTTTTGGATGATACTGAGAGTAGACTTACTTAAAGGCGTATTACTCAAAGGACCATTAAGAGGAAGAGAGTGTAAAAGAGTGAGAACCATTTTGAACGTGTAACCTGGTCTCTATCTCACACTACACACCAGCAGACCTGCATCCTCTCCTCCTTCGCTCTGTTCACTTTCTCCAGTAGGCGTGGACATTTTTGCACTGCCACGTTCTAAGAGCTGAGGTAAGGAGACAATGCTGAAGGCTCCGAGGTGATGATTTCCTCCACAAAACAACAGAGACAAGGCGATAAATTCAGCTTGTAATAGGAAGGAGTTCATTTCTCCTACCTGTGTTTATTTTTCATTGATTGGCTATAGTTAGGAGAGTGGCGGCTCTTCCCCGTAATTTGTACATTCTGCCTGTTTCCAGATTGTTCTTGGCCCAGCTGGAGGCATGTGTATTGTGTCAGGAAGAACCCAGTAGGCTCTGAAGTGTGACCTGCCACTGGATAAGTGTACCTTAGCCCTCTTTCGTGGAGCTAGGACCAGCATGGCATAAAGCTGTACTCAGCATGTTAGTCCATTTATAGAGAATTATGGTTATTTGCGGCTAGTCTATTTAAGTTCAAACCCAAAACACTTTTCTCTTTAAGTTCTGGTTCTATAATTTGAAAGCAAAATTCAGCTGGATTTTTATAAATGAATTTGCCTGCTCTACACAATGACTTATTGTCAAAAATATTCTAATTTATTTTCTATATCAGTTTTTATGGGGAAAATAAAAATTTTGCATATTTAACATCATATGCTTGAAACATTTTACTTTTAAATAAGGAAAATCATATAAGAACCTACAAAATTATGCAACATTAAATAGGTTCTATTTTTTTAAACTCTGTTACTAACACATAGTCTATGCTACTATTTGAATCTAAGAGAAATATTTAGTGAATGCCAGTAAAAAATGGTCTTGCCTAAATTCTTTCTTGTTTACTTACAACAGAAGTAAAACCTCATATAGAAACCATATTGACATTTCAAAGCCTCTTCACACATGTTATTTCCACTTTTTGGTTTACTGAGTTTTATTAAAACTAATCTTTTGATCTTTTGTTTAGCATCTTAAAGCTATTGGGCTGAAAAATATGTAACCTTCATATTCCATAATTAGCTGTTACAAGATTTTGATACCCAGTGGAGCAGAGTGTACCTTCGGAAAAGAGATTTATTAAAGTTTAATGAATGATTTATAACTGCATTTCTTATTGGAGAAAGAAAGTTTTGCAGCCCCCATGCTTGAAACAATCATCTTTTTCTCTGAGCTAAGGTGAGGTGATATTTCTAAGGCAATAAAAAAATTATAATGAAAATACTGGAGGTTTTTGAAATATTTTCCAGCTATGAATCTTGAAGGCATTTACAAATATCAATTATGATTTCAGTGAATCATTGCCAGTGTTTTATTTCCAATAATATCAAGTTATATTATCTAAAGAGGTCAGAACAGATTAAACTGCTTGTTTTCTGAATTAATAGAGGGAGAAATTATATGAATAATATGAAAAATGAACAATAATTATATATCATTTATAGTTTGCCTTTGAATTCATTCTGTTTTTATAGGGAAAACAAAATATTTCCCATAGAAATGCAATCAGATATGCTACAAGTGAACTTCAGAGACTATCATGTCACCAAATGCACAAACATACTTTACTATCTATGTAGCTCATAAAGTTATCAGATTTAGCAACAAAAACAGAAACAAAACAAAACAAAGAACCCAGGATACACAGTTAAATTCGAGTTTCAGAAAAATAACAAATTTTTAGTATAGCATGATAATTTTTTTTTTTTTTGCTTGAGGAAGATTAGCCCTGAGCCAACAGCTGTGCTGATCTTCCTCTGTTTTGTACGTTTGTCACTGCCACAGGATGGTTTGACAAGTGGTGTAGGTCCACACCTGGGATCTGGGCCTGTGAAGCCCGGGCTGCCACAGTAGAGCATGCTAAACTTAACCACTGTGCCACCAGGCCAACCTGAGTGATAGTTAATGTTAACTTGATTGGATCATGGACTGGCCAGGTATCTGGTTAAAAATAATTGCTGGGTCTCTCTGTGAGGGTGTTAGAGATTAGCATGTGAATTGGTAGATTGAGTAAAGTGGTGTGACCTCCTCAGTGTGGGAGGCATCGTCATCCCATCTGTTGAGGCACTGAATAGAACAAAAAGCTGGAGGAAGGGAAGATTCACGCTCTCTGCTCCACTGAGCTGGAACACGGATCTTGCCCTTAGAGCTCCTCGTTCTTGGGCCTTTGGACCTGCACTGGAATCTACACCATCAACTCTCTGACTCAGGCCTTCGAACTACACCACTCAGTTTCCTGGCTCTCCAGCTTGCAGACGACAGATTGTGGGACTCCTCAGCCTCCATAATCACAAGGAGAATATCTTAGAATAAATCTCTGTATATATACTATATACCTTATAATAAATCTTTCTCTATATATGTATCTCTTATTGCTTCTCTTTCTCTAGAGAACACTGACTAATACCTCTCAATTTTATGTCTCCAATATTGCATGTGACATATTTAGGCTAAAAATTATTCCTTCTTTACCTGAAATTCATATTTAACTATGCATCTTGTAGTTAATCTCACAACTTTAGGAAGAAACGTAATGTGCCTCCATCTAATTGGGCCCTACTTATCTTCCAGGAGGTTTTTAGGAGATGCAGAATGCAGAGAAAAGGATAAGGTGAAAGATAAGCAATGAAGAATTAAGCTAAGGATCCCCATGAGAACATCTCTGGGTCTCAGAGAACTCCCTGACTCTCTCCAGCCACTACAGAGCAAAGATCTCGATCATTCCATGCAGAAGCCAGAAATGCCTCTCCCCTTTTAGAGAGCTCATCAGAGATGAAAGAAAACGGCCCAAAGCAAAACAAAGCATCTTGCTTTTCAGGTGCCTTCTCTGCCTCTGGGTGGTGGAATCTTCAGAGAATTAACCGAACTTTTACCATAAAATCACCATAAAATTCACTTTAACATTGACAATGACTGAGTTAACCAGGAAAATTCTGTTCACGCAGCAATACCCATTTCCAATCATAAGATTAAAAGCCAACTCTTTGACAGATGTTGGGGGAAGTTACATTATTTGGACTTAAATGATTTCATCCTAATTTTAGTTTCTAGCTGCTGGTTATAGAATCTTTACAAGATTTAGGCACCTCAGCTCATTATAGTGCTGCACACCCACTATTTCTCCATGTATTATAAATGTTGCATTAATCAGAGGCACAAAAGAGAGAAAGTGGATGTCAATTCTGGGAAGGAGCGAGGTAGTACGGGTCAATGTTAAATTTAACAACTTAACTTATTGGCCACTATTTTTAAAGCACTTTTTTAACTCTATCCATCCTTTAAATTAAATTTTAATATTCAGGCATGTTCTAACTCTCAAACCTTTTATTTCTCTACAAATGTAGCATGGTTCTTCCCACCCCCATCTTTATCTGTTTGATGTTTATATTTAGCTAGTCATATTAATGGATCAGGGCTTTGAAGACAAAAGTTGTCAATCTGTTTTTTCTTCTGTTATAAAAGTTATGAAAGGAGAAAAATTTTCCAAAGCTGTTCTGTTTTCATGTCTGTGAAATATATTTTATCTTTCTGCTATCAATTCAACTCTTTTTCTAGCGTTCTAAGGCCTGTCCATATCAATCATTTTGGTCATAGAAATCCCTTGGGCCATATAGGGCTTCCATAGTTTTTGGAATATGTGTTGGGCAGTCACCACAGACCAACTGTAAGCAAATCTAAACCTAATGAAATTTGTCTTGGTTATTTCCTATATTAAAAACATAGCCCTTTATTATTATTAAGGATCAACAAGCATAATAATTTACACTGTAAAAATTTTGATTCCTATATTTCTGGTCGTGGCATTATTTGTTGAAATGAAATGTTACAATGAAGCATAAACACGGTACCTATAACAACAGGCCTCCTCTCATTGAAGTGCAGCTCACTCCTTCTATATTCCCTCTGTGGGCTTGCTGGGAAGGTTTCAGGAACCTTCCGGAAATCCCCAAACCATATTTTGAAGAGCAGTGCCCTCTAGAAATATTATAGGAAACAAGAACAATTACAAAGCCAAAATTACAGGAAAAAAACAAAAGAAATAGAAATTTGTTAGTCAGCTTGCTCGATTTCCTAAATCATCTCTCCTAATGAACATTCAAAGTGACACCAGACATATACAGACTGAGTGAAATGTTCCTTATTCCCCCACCTCCACTCTGGACACAGCTCCCTGGAAGTGATTCTATGACATTATTGCAATTGTTTGCATGTGTGTCTCTCACAGATTGCGCTTTAGGGGATGTGTGTTCTAGAGAGCCATATCTGGCCCCAAATGCCCTAACAAGTCTTCAGGTCTTGGTTGGCACAGGTGATCCTACAACATTTCAAGTGGCTAAGGTTCTACCTTCTCTTGAGGTGGGAGTACCACTGCCGTACAAATTCTGCCCACGCGCCATGCTCCTCTGGAGTCTTAGCCTCCAACTTGACCTGTATAGTGAGAGTCAGAGGCAAGGACCTGGCGGCTGTTCAGTCTTCAGCTCTGATGGATGTTTTAGCCAAATAGAAAGTTAAAGCGTTTTCTTTTAAGGTGAAGTTATGAATCGCTCCCTAAACTGCTTTATGTTCTCTTTTTGCTCCCCGCTTCTCAATTTCCCTCTCTAGCGTCCTCCCCACTCCTCCAAAGTCAAACCAACAATGTGAAGGAACTCTGCTTCTCTTCTAGAATTTTTCTTAAATTAATTACTTCCATGAGTCATTTAAACCAAAGCCTAGACATTATTCTTTACAACTTCTTCAACAAGTATAGCAATTTTTAAAAATTATATTTCTAATAATATAGACTTGGCGTTTGATTAAATCTTGCATTTGTTAATGAATTTAGGACTATAGATCTCTTTTATTTAAAACTGTCGGATTGAATTTTTGATAACTCGGGATTTTCTTGACAAGCAGCCACAATTGATGAGTTCATTCTACTGACATCTTCTTCATCCACTTAACTCGCATGCAAACTTCAAACTGAGTTCTCCTGGACAGTACTCCTGGCCCGCACTCCGCCGTCTCACCATCGCAATCTGACTTGAACCCTCTCGGACATTCTCACATAGCACCCTCTGCTTACCTGACTAAACGGCAAGGCCTTGGAAGTCACGGCCAACCTCACTTGACATTTTGCCCTCAGTGCTTAGCACAGGGCCTGGTACATGGCAGGTATAAAAAAAAGGAAAGAAAAGAGAAGAAAAAAATATGTATGAAACATTTATTTTGTAGGTGTACTTTGTGAGACACTCATGGTTCAAAAATAAGGATTGATCTCTTCCACACAGTGGGAAGAAAATCTATCTAAATAAATAATTATATATTAATATGATTTTAAAGACATGAATCAACTGTTATAGATTTGTGGGGATGAGGGAAAGAAGACAGTATTTAACTCTGTCTGATGGTATGAGGAAAGACCACAAAGACCGAGCGTTGAGCCCTTGGGGAGTAGTGAAAACATATCAGCGAGCAAGGGTGCACAGGCCACTTCCGGGCATTTGGGACAATACCGGATTTCACCAAATCCAAGACACATTCTATTGTAAGCTACACAGTTAAAATTAAAATGTGACTTTTAAGATGTGTATTGTTGGGGCTGGCCCAGTGGCATAGAGGTTGAGTTTGTGTCCTCTGCTTCAGTGGCCTGGGGCTCACTGGTTCAGATCCTGGGCATGGACCTACACACCGCTTATTAAGCCATGCTGTGGCAGGTGTCCCACATATAAAATGGGAGAAGATGGGAACAGATCTTAGCTCAGGGTCAATCTTCCTCAGCAAAAAGAGGAGGATTGGCAGTGGATGTTAGCTCAGGGCTAATCTTCCTCAAAAAAAAGAAAATGTATATTGTGAAAGAAGCTGCACAACGGGTTATTTTTTGTAATTATAATTTTAATAGAATTTGGCCTAGTATGATATATCCAAATTAAATTGTGTAATTAAATAAGTTGATTTAGATTTATGATTTTGAGTCAAAATCAGTCCTAAATTTGTGCTCACTGATGGAAAATTCAAGAAAAATTAAAGGTCCCTCTAATTATAGGCTAAACTCAACAGATTTATAAGCATTCCTTATCAATTCATCAATTATTTATCAAATATTTATCAATTATTTTATCTCTTCTAAGACATTTTTCATACTTTGAGACACATTTATTGCTATAATCGAGATGTGTCTTTCAACCAATGGCGTGTCATTGTTTATTTGGCAGTTTTTTTCTTTTTGGAGGTATCGTGGATTCCTACATTCCCAGTAGTTATGTTCTATATATAAGTTACCATGAACACTGACTTCATGCATACTGAGCTGTGATTTCTAGGGGAAATAGAGGGTTAGGTGGTCAGCCTCTGATCACAACATTTTCATCAACAAATCAATACATAACCTCGTTTAACATGTGTGTCTGTTTAAAGACATCTTATTTAACATGTACTGTTGATTCATTAATCATTAATTCATTAATATTGAACTCACGCATGGCCAACAGCCGTGAACAAACAGCCTGAATGAGGCTTATCCAACACAACTATTTTCTCCATAAGACAGATCACAGGCTTCCTGTACTTAGAAACACTAGCCAGCACTTCAGCACTGTGCTTGGGAATCATTTTAAATGAAACATCACCAACAAAAACACAAAAATATGAAAAAATATGGACCAAATAGATGGCAGAAAAGAGACTTGCTTACAGCAGGAGCATCGCTTTCTTTGACCTCCCTGGGCAGGTGGTCAAAATTTTTCTGTGCTCTGTGCTTTCACATGCCTGAGAATGACCCTGAACAGCCTGAAAATATTGATTTTGGAGCTACAAATAAATAGGTTAATTTGCAAATATTACATCCACGAATAATGAGGATCAATATAAAATAATATATTGTTTCTTATAAACAATAAGTATGTAAAATGACACATTTCTTATAACCAATGCTGGTAGTCAAAAGGCTTTTTAAGTAGTTAGATTGGCTTTGTAATTGTTAAGTCACATAAAATAGTTAAAGAGGAATTTAGCATATTAAAGTAAAAAAGTTAGACTATTTGAAAGTGCTTCATTTTAAAAGTTTGCAAATGGAACCAAAACTTATTCAAAATTTCTTTTAAAATGATTGCTAAAACCAGCTAGCACTACAAACAGAATAGGGTTTTACGAACTGGCCTTAAAAACTTGATAAGGAAGTAAGAATTTGAACTGGTAACTTTAATAAGTCAAACGTTAATCTATAAAACAAAAAGAAAACATCTGGATAGCCTTTCTTACTTGTGAAAGACACCTGTAAGTTCACCAGTAATGATGAAAACAATCTGAAAGAAAGTGCA